GAAGAAACAACTGTCTCTGTGAGGTTCCAAGACTGTAACTCTTTATGGAAGTGGAAAGGCCCCTCTTTCTCCCTCAGAGCAGCTGGTGGTTTCAAACTGGAGACCTTGTGGATCCCAGCCTTACCGACTACCCACTACACTACCAGAGTTCCTTCCAATGACTTCAGTTTCTTTACTTTCAAGGGCAAGTTTCCAGAATCTCTTCTGACATAGTTTGGTTTTTTCTTTCTTTTTAATGATGTTTCATTTATTCATGTATGATGTCCTTAGATGTCCTTAATGTCATTACAGAACTCATCTGGTCTTTTGGGGGCTTTCTGAAGCTCAAAGCATCAAATCTATTTTTGAGATGGTCTCTAAATTCAGGTGGGAATTATTCAAAGTAGTATTTTGCCTCTCATGGTCTTGTCTGAATGTTCTTTAGCTTCAACTTGCATATGAGCAATTACTGGGCCATTAAGTACTTAGCTTCTGGCATTTTGTTTTGATGGATGGGATTGAGTCTCCTCAGGGTCTCTTCCCACAGATACAATAGATTTGATTCATGTGTACTTCATAGAGCACAGGTCTACATGTAAAGCAGCTATTTATATTGTTGAAAAAAGGTAAGTTCAGTGGTTATTAGTCTTGCAAATTCCAATATGTGATCTCCAGCATTGTTTCTATCACCAAGGCCATATTTTGCAACTGTGGACCATTCTTTTTTTAATAATTTTCACATCCCAATTCCTACCAATTCACCTGGAGTGCATGTTTGATCAATTTCAGAAGATGGAAAAATCTTTAATTGTTTCATTTTGGGCGTTAGTGGTTGACCCATACATTTGAATCACAGTCATGTTAAATGGTCTTCCTTCTAGGTGTATTGATATTATCCTATAACTGTCAGTATTATACTTTATGATAAATCCTGAAAAGTTCTTTTTGACAAGGAATATGTTCCTCTTCAATGTATCATTAACAGCATAGTAAACCATATAACAATCTAATGGAAAATGGTCAATACCATTCCATTTCACTTCATTAATGCCTCGTATATCTATCTTTCAGCATTCCATTTCATTTTACAACTTTGAATTTTTCTTGATTCATACTTCATATAGTCCACATTACAATTATGAATATATGTCTGCACCTGGCTTTTCTCATTTTACGTTACACTACCTCAATAAATTAAAATCCCAAAAGCATTATTCCATTCACATAAAAGGGGGTACACCCCCCACCCCCCAAAAAAAAACAACAGAAAAAAGCTCCATTGGGCGAAGCTTTTGTAGTACACTTTTTTCCCACTAGGCAAACATTGAGTTTTCAGTAAGTGCACCCAGTGGCATCACCTAGGAAGGTTCTCTATGTTAACAATGAATTTTTTCCTTAAAAGCAGTTTCACTTGAACTTTGATTTATATGATGACCTATTTAAGAGAACAGCACGCAGCTGTGTAATTTTGTTTCCTGCTCAGGAAAAATACCGCAGAAACTGTTGTGATGTTGAACACAGCTTACAAGGACAGTGCAATGGGAAAAAATCAAGTGTATGAGTGTTTTTTTTCATTTCAAAAAAGGTGAAATACTAATTGATGACAAACCTCATTTTGGAAATCCATCAACTTCCTATAAGGATGAAAATGTTGACCAAAGTCTTGCAATTGTGTTTGAAGAACAACGACAGACCATTGAAGAGATGGGGAAGTTATCTGGACTATCTTGGAACTTGGTTCAATAAATTTTATCATAAGATTTGGGAATGATAGGAGTCGCTGCAAAACTTATCCCTCAGGTTCTGATTGTCAAACAAAGAGAGTGTTGAGTGGAAACATGCCATGCTTTGGAAGAGCAGCTCCAAAGTTACCCAGACAGTTTCCCAAGGGCATTACTGGTGCTGAAATATGTTGCTGTTCTTATGACCCCAAAACCAAAAATCAATCAAGCCAGTGGAGGACGCCATCATCACCTTGGCCCCCAAAACTTGTCAAGTGAAATCAAAGATCAAGATGATACTCATTTTTTTTTTGTTTGATGTGAGAGGGACAGTGCATTTGGAGTTCATTCCACCAGGTCCGATTGTTAATCAAGCTTTCTATTTAGAGGTTCTGAAAAGATTGTGTAACAGTATGAGACAAAAAAGGCCAGATTTGTGGTAGACTAGGGACTGCTTTTGCCACCATGACAGTGCACCTGCTCCAGTAGCCATCTCAGTGCGCCAGTGTTTGGCAAAAAATAGCATGCCTCCCTTGCCCCATGCACCTTCCTCGCCAGACCTTGCTGTGTGCAACTTCTTGTTTCCTCGGATAGAATTGCAGATTTGACAAATATATTAAGTGTAATTGAGAGTACTTTGAAGGTGATAAGGTCATTTTGTCCACAAAAATATAAATGCATAGCTTTGAAAAAGATTCTGGTTTTTTGGGTAGCCTTTGTAGTTAAAGTTGTCTCTCGTTTAGTGAATCAGCTCTTCCCAGTTGAGGGATTGATCTTCTATCATTATAACCGACAATGTTCCGCTGCCATATATAAGGTCTTTAGAGGTAAATATATGTCTTTTTTTAAGTAGTAAATTTTCAGTTTCTTCTTCTTAGTCAGAATCGACTAGATAGCAGTGTGTTTGAGTTTCTATAATAATATGAAAAGATAAATGAACATCAAAGCCACAATTAAGAAAAGCAATTCCCTGCACTCTGGAGAAGATCAGGTATCCTCCTAAGTCACCAGAAAAAAACAAAACAAAAAAGATATGCAGGGTGACACAGCTGGATTCAGATCTACAACTGACTACCTCTCATGGCATCTCTCATGCTTCACTCTAACGATCATTTGGGATCTCCTTGATCCCAAAGCCATAGAGGCTTACACGAATTACAGCCGCCAGCTTAAGTGATTCCAGATGTGCTGCAAAGCTATTATTACTAAGCATTTGTGCTATTGGTATTTAGAAAATAACTGAAATGAGTACCTACGTGGAAAAGTTTGTAGCATGGAAAGCCTCTTTGTTTGTGTATAAAGAAAAGGCACTGAAAGTATACCTGAATTCAGCTAAAAAGAGACCTGTTTCCGAATTGCCAAGGTGCCTAAATGTATGACAATGTCTGACACAGTAGCCAGTCAGAAGCGAGGAGGACTGTCTGGAAGAATATTGAGAAATGATGTGGTGGCCCCAGAACACTGCCAAATTCTTCCATTCTCCCAGGACTGGAGTCAGCAGAAAGCAAAGAACAGAGTGTCTGAGGTCAAATTAGAACCGTCCCTTGCCCTTACAAGAATGCCCACACACTGGAAAGGTGAGATGCCTGGGAATTTCTTCATAGTCTTGCGTCTAGCAACATGTAAGTTTTCTCTTTTCTCTCCTCCTTCTAAGCCCAAGATTACATTAAACATATAAATAAAATCTAAGTATCTTCATTAAGTGCTTTCTAATTATATTAATGCCTGTACAGTTTGACATTAAAGCTTGGAACACCTTTATCTCATTAAAATTTTTACTTAGTTATATCCAGAAGAAAGCTGCCGATGCCAATTACCACACATTTGCAAAGGCATTTGATTGTTCAAGGAGCAAATCTTATGGCAGTTGCAAGCTCCCTTCTATAACAGGGTGTGGAAAGGAGCATTCTAATAATAGGGCACTATTAGCTCAGGAATAAAAGACTACAGGGCTCCATTGACATTCATTAAAAGTCCTAATTAGAGGGTGAATAACTGCTATTTAATGGGAAGTGCAGGGAGGCAGCCTGAGAACCGGCAAGGAACAGGGTGAACTCTTCACTCCCTCGAGCTGGAGGGCATGTGTAAGAACTTTAAAACCTGAAGTTAATGTGCCTTTGTTAGGTTCAGTTAAGATAAAACTTGCTGCACAAATAGATTCCTTTTCTTGTCTCTTAGAATGATTACGGGGGAGGGAGGGGTGCTGGGAAGGAGCCAGAGGCGGCGGATAGAGAATGAGGTTCCGTCACAATGGAAGGGGTGGTGTTTTAATAAAATCTCATTGTTATTTAATGTGACAGGAGCAAAGGGGCCTGGAAGAGAGCCTTCACCAAGCTCCCTCGCTATGGCCCAACTCTTGGATGGTTGGTAGTGGGCAGCTGGAAGGCTTGCCGGGACACAGGAATTTCCATGCATGTGTAAACGATACTTAGTTTAAGCGATACTTAAGTTATGAGCTAGTGACACGCAATCTGTATGTAAACACTGCTCCTTTGCTTTGCCACTCCCTTCCCGTTAGTTCGTATTTTCCACCCTTCCGTGATGTCAGACATGTTAAAATAACTAATTCACAAGGATAGGTTGCGTTGCTCAGTCGGCAGAACAAACATTCCACGAAAATAAGCCATACATTCTGTCTCAGACATTTTCACGATCCCGGTGCAAGCCGATGTGCGTACAGCAGCGCGGCGGGGAAAGCAACAGTCGGCGGGCTGTGTGCGAGAATGGGGGGAGGAGAGAGAGAGCACTCGGTGGAGCACCTAAGAGCAGGCTCGGTAACCATGGATCTCCAGAGTGGGGCAGCCAGCGAAGAGAACTAATTGGAATTGAAGGAAGTGAAATAAGTATGATTCAGAATGGTAAAAACAAACCGCTGTCGGGGATTAAAAAAAAAGGAACAACAAAACCCCGAACATATTTGCTTCTTCCCCGATTCAATGCCCAGGGAAAACCTTCCAGCCCTGGCTTCCTAGGGCTCGTTATTTCATCAAACAACTCTAAATGGCTCGCTCAGAAGCAATCTGCAGGTCCATCTACAATCAGCAATCTGCACGTCCCCGCCAGGCTAACAGCAGGTTTCCATTGCGGCGGTGCAGGAGAAGTACCCCCGAACCATTGCCTCTAGGATTAAAGGAAGAACCGGGCTGGCCTCCTGCCAACCGAAAAGATGGCAACAGGCATTCAAAGGCATCCCCTTCGGAAAGGCAACCCCGTGCCTTTCCTCACAGGGCTGCAGTGACTGCGCCCTGGAGGGTCCCGGCCGCCGGGCGACGCCCGCCCGGGGGGCTCAGCGCGGCTTACCTTCCCGCAGCGCCGAGCGCCGCGGCCGCCGGCGAAAGCGCTCCCAGCCAGCAAGCAGGCGCGCGGCTGGAGGCGCTCGGGGTTCCGGGCAGGAGCCTCCGACAGGGAGCCAACCTGGCCGGGCCTGTGAGCATGCCCAGCGCCCGGCGCTTCTCGGGCTACTCCACTTCTCCGGGTTTTAGCTGCGCTCGGGCTAAAGGGGGCGGAGGAGGGAGCAACCGAGAGGTGCAAACGGGCGGCTCCGACCTGGGGTTCTGGCGGGTGGGGGGAGCGAGATCTGGCCGCCGGGGAAGGGCCCCGAGCGGGG